ATTGTCCCAGAGTTGTACAATTTTCCTTAGACTTTATGGACTATTTTAAATATTATTTGTGAAAGAAAGTCTCCGAAGCAAACTATATTGATATTTATGTATTTATTTTTGTAATTTTATTAAATAGTCCAGTTTAATTAAGTTAAATTTTAAATTAAACCTCAATAATCACGGCCCTATCCTTGGGGTCGTGACATCCCGTGTCATATGTCCGTCCAGGTCCTCCGCCTCTGAATCTTTCCGATGATAACGACGATGATTCCAGTGACGCTGCTAACTTAGGATAGTAGATTTTTATTAATGTAATAATTTATACTTTCGTAAGTTTTATAATTACATTTTTATTTTATTTTATTAATAATCACACAAGTTAATTTTATTTATATTTATTTTAATTAATTCCTTTTTATTATTATAATATTAGATATTGGATTTAAATATATTGTAATATACAATATTAATTATTAAAATGAGAAAAAAATAAATAAATAATTAAAATACTATTTGCGACGACAAATGTGGTCGCAAAAAATTTAATGCCACGTCGGTTAATTCTCTATTATTTGCGACGACATAATTTGTGAATTGTCATCGCAAATAATTATTACCATGTCACCTTGACGATGCAACCGATGAAATAATTGCAGCGACTCATTTGTGACAACTGTCGTCGCAAATGTAATTCCAATGACGACATGTCATCCCAAAAAAAATTTTTGCGACGAATCAATTGCGGCGACATGTTTGCGACGACAAGTTGTCACAAAAAATATATTTGCGACGACTTTTAGTCATCGCTAATAACACTGTTTCTTGTAGTGTGTGTTAAATTGACCTCCCGTGCAGGTGGTGTTTCCACAGCAGATGTCATCCATTTGGCAGCAATGCCCCAATTATATCTATGAATTACCGTAACGTCAGCTATCGTTGACAAATAATGAAGATCTTCCTCATTCCCCGGCGTAGCAAATACATTACAGCCTAACAGGGTCAAAACGAAAGTGCGAGCTATTATTAGTTCGTCAGTGTAGCTGGAGCACGGCATCACGCTGTGAGTTTTGAAAAGCCATTGAACAGGCACACTATTCTTGTTCCACCAACAAACGTCTTCTCCCAATAAAGCTATGGGGGCCTTCTTATCTTGGGTAAACCATGGTCTGGAAAGTAAACCCCACGGCTCTAGAGAGTAATTTATTATGGATTTAAGTACGCTTCCGCTTATTAATTTATTGATTCTTGGTGATCTAACATGTATGTTTCTTAAATTTTGAAAGATGTTTTACATCAAAGGATATTTTCTAACACTAAAATCCACTTGAGTCATTGTAACCACGCCATCAAAGTGGAATGTGTGAGTGGTATCCCACCACCTCTTTGCAAGTGCGTAGATTGAGGGGGCCATCAATTTCAAATATCTGCAAGGAATCAATGAGGTGGGGCGAGCCTGAGGTTCCTGAATGGGGATTTGGAGGGTTAGGAAAGCGTTGCGGAACATACAGGGTACTAATTCCTGTTCATATTTTTTAAGATAATAAAGGAATAAGTAATTACTCAAAACGAAAGCAAATCTTGTGAAAGTGCAAGCCACACTGGACCGATGGAAGACCATGAAATAGTTGTACCGAAAGCCGTATCGGAAGCCTAATTAAATCAAAGTGCGAACAAACATTGTTTAATTCCTACAGCTCCTAACCAGTCTCTACTGTTTTCAATGTTAATAAGAGTTGGAGTAAAGTTGTTTAAAAGATGGAACCGTGTTGAAGCTCAATTCATAGTTGTTACAAAATGGAGCATATTACCTTCAAAGATTTTTTTTTTTTTTGTTTTTTTTTGTTGTTGCGAAACTGACATAAAACTGTCAGGTAATGGATATTGTATTGGTTTTTGTTGGAAGTTATCAGAAATCCATAACTCGGTAGATATATGATGTGCTGCCAATCTTTTTTATTCCATATTTTCCGAGGCAAATCCTTCTAACGCGTCTTCGTCTCACATTGAAAGAGAGGAAGAAGTCAGAGGCCATTGAAAAACCAAGATTAGGAAATTTCACAAGTTTTGTGGAATTCCTTAGGGCGGCTGTTGTTTCCCGTCGCTTCATTCTTTTTACGGAATTGGAATCAGGTTCTAGCATAGCTTTTTGTGCTTCTCCGGCTAAGGTTTGATTTTTGAAGGGGATGCGAGGGCATGAAGGGGGAAAGGGTTTCCCAATAATTAGAGGTGCCAATTCGTGTCACGTGTCGCGTTTTGATCGTTTCTTTTTAAATTTACGGTCAATCCGAACACGACCCGTGACACGAAATGTTTTAAAAACCGCAACACGAACACGATACAACCACTTTATGGGTTGACACGACACGATACAAAAATGACCCATGACACGAAATTGACCCGTGAACCCGAAATTGACACGAAAATTATATAATTTTATTTAGTTTCTTACATATTAGAAATAACTTTAAATTCATAACACACTAAAATACAATAACATCTATTAAAATTAAGTAAATAATAGTATAATATTTTAAATCTAATTATTATGATATCACAAGTTTATAATAAAATTTAAAATATGTAATAAAAAATATATATATAACACTGTTATCTTAAATTCGGAAGATAATCTTTCGGCATAGTCCAACGTTTTATGATAAGCGTGGTAATAAGGCACTGTTTTAACAGAATGACATAAGTGTAAGGTATTGAAATGTGGTGCTAATATTTTTGAAGTTATCAAAATTAACTTGTAAAACCCGTGCAGGGTATTGGAACCAGTATTGTGTTTTGTTTTTTTTTTTTTTTTTTTTTTTTTTTTTTTTTTTTTTAATTTTTTTCGCTGAATGAACCAACATTCTTTTTATTAACAAAGTATTTCCACCGTTCTAACAGGAGAACATGGGTTCCTTCGTACTTCGTAGGGCATAACAATACAGTTGCTTTAGCCGTTAACTATTGAGAAAATTTAAGGTTACTTTGTCATCACCCTTTTAATTATGGTTAGACATGACTGAAATATGATTTCAAAAAGGGCGATAAAAGGTTGTGAGTGTAATTTAAGCGTCTTTCAACAAAAATCCCGTTACAAGAATTCGTAATATAATACCTATTAATATTGTCATAGTATTTAATGACTACAATTACGAATGTAACAGTACTATCCTGCACACCAATTTCGAATAGTATTGTCATAATCGACAACGTGTGATGAAATATTGGGAAGAAAAATTGAGTGACAAACTATTCGATAATTCGATAATTCGAAGCTTCTACGCTTTTATTTTCCATCGTGCCGAGCAAGCGAGGGTATAGATGTTGGCCGTCATTGTGGAAAAAATTTGGAGAATGTGAAGAGATTATGGTAAGGCGTTGGTAACCAGATTGGATACTTTTGGGATATTTGCTAGGGGTGACAATTTGTGTCACGTGTCTTATTCGTATCGTGTTTTAATTATTTTTTTTCTTAAATTTAAAGTCTAAGCGAACACGACCCATGACACGAAATTTTTTAAAAACTGCAACACAAACACGACACGACCACTTTACAGGTTGACACGACACGATACGAAAATGACCCGTGAAAACGAAAATGACACGAATATTATTTACTTTTTTTTAGTTTCTTACATATTAGAAATAACTTAAAATTCATAACACATTAAAATACAATAACATCCATCAAAATTAAGCAAATAAGAGTATAAGATTTTGAGTATAACAATCATGATATCACAAGTTTATAATAAAATCTAAAATATGTAATGAAAAATATATATATTTTTTAGTTTTTTACGAGTTTCGTGCCGTGTTCGGGTTAGGCGGGTCCAACCCGAAATTGACCATTATTTTTCGTGTCAATTTCAGGTCGACCCAATTTTGACTCGAACCTCTTTTTCTCAACCCTAACCCCCAAAATTCGTGTTGTTTTCGAGTCGTGTTGTCGCGTCGTGACTCATATTGTCGGTCCTAATATTTGCTCTCTAATAATACAATGGTGAGTGCTTGAGATTGATAAGATTGGAGCAAATTATGAGTATGTGTGATAAATGCTGCTCTGAGTGATATCCTTAGATTTTCATTTAAAATGACTTTTTTTTTCATTGAATCATAATTTAAACCTTTTTGTTACAGTATTTTACCTAATAAAAAATTTGAATATCTGTTCAAACTTTCAACTAAACTAGTTGCATAATTTCCAGTAAAATAGTTGAATGAGAAACCGATTTTTCTTAAAGATGAAAATACATTAACAAGTTAATCGTCACATGCATTTTAAGAATTTCGCTAAAGCAAAAAAGTTAGCCCTTGTTATGCTAATATGAGTTCATTTTAATGAGTCCATTTGATTGAACTTTTATTTTGTGTCATGCTAATGAGTCCATTTGATAGAACTTTTACTTTGTGTCATGCTAAATATGAGTCCATTTGATAGAACTTTTATTTTGTGTCAGTAAAAGCTTTTAAAGTAAGTTTGAATCCTTATTTTTAAAAGAGTTTATATAAATTAAAATGATTTTAAAATTTTATAATAAGCAAAACAAAAATGTTATAATAAAATTTATAATAATTTATTAAAACTTTAACTTTGAGATGTTTATTTAGAATAACTTTTTTTGACAAATCACATATTAAAGCTTTGACTAAAGTGGCGTTTGGTTCATAGATTTAAACTATGTGATTAGAACCATTTTTTATTTACATGTACTTTTTATGAGAGAAAATACTGTAGCGAACCACGAACCATGATTCGAATTAAGAAACGAATCTAAGTACCAAACATACTCTAAAAGTTTTTATGAAAAAACAGTTTTTTTGACGGATAATTCAAACACTTTTAAAATTAACTTTTAGAGTTAAAAGAATCTAATAACAGCCTCTAGGAAGCTCTGTTTACATCACTCAAATTCAGTCTCGCATCAATCAAGTTGCATAGCAAGTAGGCCAGTACACATCAAGTAGGAGCAACAAGAATCAAATAAACAGATATTGTGTTAATAAAGATCTAATAAAAGATTAAAAGCTGGATAATATTCACAGTTTTTATACATATTCATAAAGAAGAGAAGCGGTATATACAAGGGTTAGGAGATTAAAAAGACTATTGAATCATCAGCAGCTGTACAGAATGGAAATAAAAGAGTTCCAATTCCCACCCGAAAGATTTTAAAACTTTTTTGAAAGTTATATTATATTTATAATATCTACACTTGGAATTCTTCCATCACGTCAATCTGTCTGTGAGGCAGGGATCAGGAAGAAGTTGGTGGTGGTGAATGAATGGCTGTATCAGGTAACATGGCTACTGTCACTACGAAGTATTCACAACCAATGGGGAGACCGTATGGATTCGAAGAAGTTGATCCTGAATTCAAGGTCAACCGATCGGTCCCCGTGTCAGATGCAGGGTTATGCTCAGGACCAGACGGAACCGGAGCCGAAGACAGTGGCTTCACAGTCTGGCGTTCGATATGTACAATCTGTCCAACAATGTAGTTAGGTCTGCTGGAGAGGTGGTCTGTGAACAAGGCCACAGATTCAGCTGAAAGGTAGTAGTTCGAGCAGTTTCTGTTGATTGCCTCGTAATTCCCGCATGCATTAAGAACAAAGGCAGCAATCTCATGGACTTCAAGGCGGCCAAAAGAAATCTTTTCCTTGTTGGCCTGTTCCAAAAACAAACACAATATGAGACATGACCATCCAATGATTGATAACAAGTTTGAATCAAGAATCACTTCTGTTTCCCAAAAAGTTAAGGTGATTTGAATTATCCAATATGTTCGGAGGAAATATATTCCGAGACAAACCACCATAGAATGCGCAAAACGTAATCGTATATTTACTATACATTCTTACGAACAAGCAATGTGAAAACACCGGACTCAAGTCAGTACTCAGTATCAGTTACCTGCTTCTCAAGTTGATGCTTGGCATACAGGGTTTTGACCAGCTCTTGCTTTTCTTCCAATTCCTTTCTAAGTTGTTCATTTGCAACTTCAACCTTTGGGTACTTTTCAAGGAGCTCATCGCGATTCCTGGACAAGAAAGTAACTTTGTCTGCAAGGACTCTGATGCATTTACGGAACTCCACAATACCTTCATCTTCATTTTCGTTGATGGAACTGAAACAATTCAAAGCAGATGCCATCATAACATTAGTAAAATCATACAAAATACAATGATAGCTCCATAAGCCTCTCCAAATATGCCAAAAAGAAATGCATTTGGATAAACCGTAATGAAATCTAAATATGTTCCACCAGAAGGTAACAAGTTACTTTTAGAAGGTTAACATGGTCTTGCGGTTTTGCGTGTAATGACATTAACTAAGACATGCAAAGCTAAACCAATTCCACACCTCATCCCATAAATAAACGAACAAAAAGCTTGCGGCACATATATAAAGAGAAAAACGAACTCTTTTTTTTTTCTTTTTTTTTAATGAAAACATAAAGAAGCTTTGACAAATGAAAAACGTATGGCTAAAGAGGAAGAAGCAGTCGAGCAGAGGATAAATTTGTTAACAGGAGGGCATAATATACTGAGATGAGTAATTCGGAAACCAACTTACTTGGACAAAGATTGTGATAATGCTCGTAAAGCATCAGCAAACACAGCAACGCCGCCTGGAGCACATACCGAGCTTTTTAGTCTCTCAAAGAGGCCACGCATCTTGACCGCAGATGCACGCAGTGTACTGTACTCAGAAGCTCTTCGATCAGCTGCACAAAGATGGGTGTGAGCTTCCTCTCGTGCTTCATGCAAGCAGTTTTCCAAGTGAGCACAATTCATCTATAAAGGAGAAGCCAATGTAAGTTACGAGTTCGCGAAAATGATGATAAACATACATAACTTCATTAAGGAAACTAGCAGTAATTTTGCATGAATAATGGGATATACCAAATATCTGAAGACGAAGGTTTAATATGAAAAAGCATTTACTCCATGGAATAGACACAATCAAACAAAATACTTTTTGCCAACGGATGAAAAATAAATGTAAAAACAACAGTTCCTCCTGCCTTCTTTTTTTTTTTTTTTTTGATGGATCCTCTCCCTATATTTGTTGTGCAAACAAATTTGGTTCATAGTGCTGTAGGAGTTTCTACCAACAAGGCTTTATTATATCTGATTTAATGTCCATACTTATCAACGGCTATAAACAATAAATATCAGAAAGTGGCATGGATTCCCGAAGGCAAAAGACTAGAAAAGGGTAAAATGAATCTTTGACATGCACATAAAATAATAAGATTTTTCCGACACAATTAATTTACAATAGAGGAACAAGGGATAGCACCCAGTTAATTCCTACATACCTGTGATTCATCAAGAAGCTTCCTATTAGTTTCCAGTTCCCTCTTAAGCATTGCGACCTCATCCATAGCAGCTTTAAGCTTTGTTTCAGTTTCATTCAACTGGTTTGACTTCTCTGCAAGTGTATTTTGCAATTCCAACAAAAGATTACCACTAACTTTTGAGTCCAAGCCAGGATCAACTGCCACCTCACAAGGTAAAACACTTGAACCGGGCATGCTCTCAGCAGTAGAACTACTAGTCAGTGACATGCCCAACTGCCCGATCATCTTGTCTTTCCCATCTTTGTCGCTGTCACGATGTGGCTCCATCATTGAAGAATCCAATTGAGGATTTTGTACCCCAGATGAATCCATCATGTTCTCATCCAACCCATCTCTCACTTTACCAGGTTGCCCCGTGAAAAGCCCCAACTTGGATTCTAATGAATTTGAGATGCAAGAAACCTCATCCATTGGTTCACTTGTTGATATGCAAGGCATACGAGCTTCTCCACCACACGAGGTTTGTGACTTGTAATCACCATCCTTTGCAGCCAAACTGCCAAAGTCCGAGACATCCCTGTTATCACAAATCTTCTGGCCTTCAAAGTACTGATCAGACAATCTCTGTTCTAATTCTTTAATGCGTTTCTCATACGACTCACACTGCATCTGCTTCATCTTAAGCATAGATTGCAGATGCCGTTCATATTCTTCTTTCATATGCAAGGCTTCAGCGGTCTTCTCTGCAGTGTTCTTTAACAAACTATCCAACTTACTGTCATCCAATGATTCATATTCGATATCAAGGCACAGAGAACAAATGAGTGCTATTTTGGAAGCGAGTTCAGCTTTCAACTTCGCATTCTCAACTTCCATCTTACTAGTCCCAGCAATCTCTATCAACTCAGAGCCTTCGAGTAGCTCCTCAGAATCGCATCTCTCAAGCACATCTGTACCACTGTCTTCAGCTTCGACAGAGTGACAACTGTCATTAGACGTAGAAAAGGAACCTTTGAAGCTTCCCTGCTTCTCCACCTTAGATGGAAATCCTGCGAGGTACTCAGGAGCATAGCGATCCACATCGTCAAGGTCAATGTCAAGTAAACCAGTGTCAAAAGGAGCTATATTAACATCGCACTGATTTGGGGTATCGTATAATCCCATAGATGCTAATACATCCTTAGGTACATATGAACCATGCTTTTTCAGAAACTCTTCCCGTCTCCTGACCTCGAGCTCTCTTTTTGTTGCAAGCCTTTCAGCCAACTGTCCAGCCATTCCCATGTAAAGCTTCATGTTGGCCTTTCTTCTCACTACCTCTGCAAGGCAGGCTCTATATGCAGGGCCAATCCCACGAACAAACTTCAAGTCCACAAATAGATCTTCCTGACGCACCATTGCCTCTCTGAAAACAGGAAACTGCAACTTCGCATCTTTGATAGTGTAAGAAACATATGTTATCTTTTGCATGTAATTGTGCACAAACATGTTCATTTCATTCTTCTTATCCTTGCAATATTCCAAAAGTTTTGAAATCGCACGTTCACAAGCCTCCATTTTAGGCAAGTGATTTTTGTCATGGACATCATACATAGGACCCAAGGCTGAAACTGCATCATGAGGACGAAGTGACGAAGACAATTGACAAGACAAACAATCATCTACTAGTTTCTTCACCGTGCCGACGTCTTTGCTGTATTAATACACAGACACAATCATCGGTCAGTGATTTCGTGGAGCATTCTAAGAGTACCATGACAAGACAGGCAAGAAACTTTCAAAGTTAACGATACAGTAGCTCATATGAAAGACCGATATCATCTAGAATCTTGTTGTACGTGAAGTGACTTCAAATTAGTACATCATCTAAAATCTTATCATACGTGAAGTGGATTCAAATTAGTATAGCTATAGTCTGAATTACTTAAGGTCGTAAAGACGGGAAACTTGTAAAGTGAAAGAAGCTTATAATCTGTAAACTTCCAAATTTATTTCCTTGGGCTACACTAGCACGACTATAAAGAAATATTAAGAGGCCAAACATTAAAATGAAATCATGTTATTACACAGTAAATATGTCAAAGAAGAAGGTAGAGGAGACTACATATAAAGAAGTAACAAATCGCATGTGAAAAATATACTATGGTCGACCAGAGGTTAGTTCACCTCTAACGCGAAAAAGAGACTTAAAGGCCAAAGAGATCTAGACAAGGTGAATCAGATTCTAAAGAAGATTTGTGCAGTCGCTTTTCATTCCATGAAAACAAAAAAGCTTCCTAAACCTTCGTCACAAGACATCAAACAAGGCTGCCTTGCCTCTTTTGCAGTCACAGTCCTTCGTGCACTGAACATGGTTTCTTACCATGAAACTAGAATTTAAGAAACTTTTGGAATCAGCATAGAAAAGAAGAAAAAGCCAGTTGAACTTGATTCAAGTGATGCAATTACTATGAACAAAACAAAAATTCACAAAAACAATGGAAAATTTATTGACACACCTCCAAATGAAATATACAATAAAGAACATAGAACCAAAAGAAACTATGACAATATGGCAGCATGGAAAAGTAAAACCGACCTCAGAGACTGCATTATACTCTTCTGTTCATTGATAAACCGCTGGTGATCCTTGATCATCTGTTCCAAATTCCTAATAGGCAGGGAAGCCCTGCTAGAGAAAACCTCCTCCACCTTACGAGCCACCTCAGAAAACATATTCTTAAACTGTGTAACCTTATTCTCAAACTGCCTATGAGAACTGCTACAATTCTCCGCGGACTTCCTCAAGCTCTCTTCCTTCACAAAATCCAACAAGCACCTGCGCGAGGCGGCTTGCAAAGTGGGGTGTATCTTAATGTTCCTAAGCCTCTCAATATCCCTCCCAAAGTTCGTCAAAAGATCGTAGTGCATCCTATGCTGCTGCGAAAACCGCTTCAAGAACTCCCTGCAGTTTTGGGCAATCATCTTGTAGTACTGATCCAAATTCCCCGACGCAACCTCCACCGCCCTCTCCTGAACCTTGAGCTCTCTCAAGAGCCTCTCACAGACCTCATACTTCGTTTGCGTACGGGTATAAATCACATGCCCCTTATGACAATGGTACCGAAACTGTCTCTCGTAGGAAGGTAAGGCCTTCAAAGCAGGGTCCAAAGCATCATCCAACGGGTGAGGATCGTGCGAAGAGGACGGCGACTTAGGCTCAGGAATCTCATTAACATCGATTTGCTCTGGCGGGGGAGGCTGCGAATTGCTTTGAAGCCTGGCTTTGTTGAATATAAACACTTCGCGGTCATCCGACGGAAGCTTGTAAGCAGAGAGAGGCCTTTGTGGCTCAAGTTTCAAGTCCAAACAAAGCACAAGCTGGGCACTTAGATTAATCCCAGAAACGGATTCAATTAGCCTCATAACACCTTCGACAAGTGTGGTCTCATCACAACTAAGCTCAAAAGAGTGCCCATTTTCGGCTATGTGAACAAGAAGCTTCCCATGATGGACCAGACTTTCTGTGACGGTAGAACTCATCTTATCTTCCCAAAAACTCCACAAACCCTCTTTCCACCACAGATTTCACAATCAATCAACGGCGGAAAATTCAAGCCCAGATAAAGGTTCGTTAAAACACTGCAAAAAGCTTTGAAATTCAAACCTTTTCTGATCAAACCCAAATGGAGAATTTTCACCGATTTTCACACCTCAATCCTCGGAAAAACCTAGGATAATCTCGAAAACTGCCACTCAAGTCTGCGAAACTGAATCTGAATTCTGAAAACCCACCGAGGATTTCATCGAAAAAGGAGCATAATCCTCACCGACCCCGCATTTGAAACCTCAATTTCGACACAACTATGAAGAGATTTGTTCCAGAAGAGAATCCCCAATTTCTTCAAAACCTTAAATCCTTCCCAGAAATTTTAAGAATAGATAAAATCTCGAATCCCAAAGCAGACCCACAACGTCCACCGAAGCGAAAATCCGAGATTATCGCGAACCGACCACCGAAATCACCTCGAACATCGGAATTCCCAACGACACACTCATTGATATCTCTCCCAAAAGAAAACCCTAATTTCGCTTCCAATTACCTCAAATTCAACCCAAAAAATAGAAACAAAACCAGAGAAAATCAAAAATCAAACCATAAACCAAATCGAAGACTTCAATTTAATTAAAAAAAAAAAAAAAGGAGAAGAGAGAAAAAAAAAAATTTCTTGAATTGAGACGAGAAAAATGGATTTGTTTCACAATCCGAGTCGATAACGTGAAGCGAAGGGGCAACTAGGGATTTAGAGATAATAAATTCAGAGAACAAGGTTATCACGAAACCCGCTTTTTTTAAAATTATTTTAACAATAAAGAATTTTCACTGTTTTTTCTCTTCTTTTCCTTCTTTCTTCTTCTTCTTCTTCACCAAGTTTTGTTTTGTTTTGGTTTTTTTTTTTTTTTTTTAATGGGGGAAAAAACAGAGAGAACCTTCTGCGGGAAGCAACCACCGCTAAGCAGAAGCTCCACTCACTCTCTCTCTCTCTCTCCACAATAAGTTTGGAAGTACAGAGAAAGTAAAGCGATGCAAGAAAAAAAATAAAAAACAAGGCACAACTTTCTACCTAATAGAATATGATTTCTTTTTATTACTACTTTTTTTTTTTTTTTAAAAAAAAAGGAGAGAGAATGGGATGTTAAAAAAAAACTTTTTTTTTTTTTTTTAACTTTTCGGGATATATGCCCAATAGGCGTTGAAAAAATAAATTACTCAAAAATGATCTTTTAAAAACGAACATTTGCAATGAAAATAAGATAAAAAAGGCGCCATCTCTCTAAAACATTTTCTCCACGTTCCTTCTAAGTTTCTCTACCGGCCATTTCTCTTGGGCCGGAGGTGCGTCACCGTAATGTCTTTGATTATAGGACTTTTCGCAGTCAAACGAAGATCACAATTAACCGCTTTGACTGCCTTATATGACTTATGGGACGTTTAGTTTATGTATTTAAAATCATAATTTAAAATTATTTTTATTTTACGTGTGTTTTTTATAAGAAAAAATACTGTAGAGAACAATGAATCATGATTTAGAATTAAGATTCAGAATCAGAGACGAATACAAGAAACAAACGTCCCTTTATTGTTTTTCTAATAGTATTTAACGAGTTGCGTCTTATGATCTCAAGTACAGGTACACATACAAATAGTAATCTTTGAGGCAATATTAGGCAAATAAAAATGCAAATAAATTCATCATTTGTAATTTGGTTTGGCTCATTGCTTCGGAAATTCTTCAACTAGCAAAAAAATTTGGTCAATTACCAAATAGAAACTGTCAACCAAGAAAAAAAAAAGGAATAAAAAAACAGCAAACGTGCAATTTGGCAAAGAAAGAGAGAATATTGTCACATAAAGTCGAAATTCTTTGAAAAATATCTCAACTAATAAAAATGTTTTCGCCTCCTACTTTACAGCCACTACAAATGCCAAGAACGTGGTTAAGAAATTTCAAGGCAACTGCTGAAGAAACAAACTGCTATAGAAAGACCTAAAATTGATGCACCAAAACTTGTTGTATAGCACTGTAGGAGAGAAGAAATTGTCCATTTTGGTGTCC